TAGAGAGAGAAATAAAAATTACAATGTAAAAATAAAAAGATAAAAAGCTTCTTTACAAATGGGTCACTTCCCTTTATATAGAAGGTCCTTTTCTTAGTCACTAAGTCTGGAATATTGCTCCAAAAATATTTAATCCTGTACTATGTGGTTGGTGGACTTTTGGGCGCGTACGGGAATAAGACAGCTCGCTACTAGTAATGTTCGATCGATTAGAGAAAAAGTTCGATCGATCAAAGAAAAGTTCGATCGATCAGACTTTGATCGATCTCACTTTTCTAATCGATCTCATGATCGATCTCACTTGGCAGCTTTTCAGGATCAGCCTCTTTTTGCTCCAAATCAGCCTCTTTTTGCTCCGAATCCTCTCCAAGACTTAGTTTGACTCCAAAAAGGCCTTAAGAAACCATTTTTAGCTTATTTTAACATTATTGACCTGAAATATACAAAAACACAAATAAGTACTAAAACGGGTAAATAAGATAGATAAAGGTCCTAGAATACTCAAGCTTAAGGGGTTTACAAGTGTACTTTTCAGCGCTCATCAAACAGCATTTCCATACCAAAAGACATGCCATTAGAATATCTAAACTCCTTAGGTAACTTTTCCAATCGATTAAACCAAGCCATTACTTTCGAACAAAAACCAACCCATAATTTCATGCCAGAAAGTCCAATTCTCCTTCAAATTCATAGTACTCCTCCGGAATGGGTAAAAGATGGAGCTATAATTCTGGGACAACATCAAATTTACATTCATTTTGATCCCACAGAAGTCCAAGTTTTTACACGACATATCGATTTTGTAAATAACTTTCATAATGATATAGAACCAGCTACCTTTAACCATTTGGTTTATTATAAATTCTATCGTCAGGTTAACTCAAGCTGCAACCCTGGTTTCAGACTCTACGACATAATATAAATATGAAAATTTTCATCAAAGCTAGAATTCCCTATGTCCTCAGATCTCCCCCAAAAATTAAGATATCTCTAGAAGTTGAAGAAATTATAAATGAAGAAAAGGTGTTGCTTGAATAGTTCAAACTCGCCTACAGAAATGAAGAAACCAGTTCACCAGACAGCACTGATGCATATGTGGCTCGCAGAGATAACAGTCCACCAGATAGCAATACCGGTAGAAATTTGTCCAATATGCTAGATTTCTAATAATTGCAAAAAGCATCCAAGAAAAAGCGGATTCGTAATAGTGTACAGATAAAAGTAGATCCACCGAAAGCGAATTCTCAACAGTAAAAGTTGATAAGACTCTCCAGAAACAGACATCAATAGTTCAGCAATAATTCAAGCCATCTTATCTCTAAATCATCTTGCATCTTATCTCAAGAAGTAGACATATATCAATAGTTTAACAATAATTCAAGCCATCTTATTTCTAAAGTATCTTGCATCTCAACCGTCTATGCAACATCTGCAATCTCAACCGAAGATTTATCTCCCACTTTTCCTATAAAAGGAGACTCTCTGCTCAAGCAAAGGATCATCGAGTTTTAAAGCAACCAAGTTTAGAGCCATCTAGCGTTTCAGCCTTCAGAGTGTGTTTCTTCTTATTTCTTTCAGTTTCCTTTGTAAAATACTGTGTGAGGCGTGAATCCATGTATAAACAGTGTGTATCCATGTATATATTGTACATGAAATAAAATAATCCAGTTTGCCTTATTTCAGAGTCTCTTTTCTTTAATTTAGTCTTTTCTTTCTTTCGGGCAAAAGACTTCTGTCCACAAAAGATTTAGTATATAGATTTCCTTTAGCCAGACAGTGTAGATCCTTGAATTTTTTTGAAACCAGCCAGTGCAAGTTGCCTTTGTTTTAATTTAATAATTTTTTCTGTGAGTTGACTCGAACTGTTGGCTTGTTAGCCCGTTATTGCTGGTGTTTAGACATTTTTACAAGGCGTTATCAGAGCGTTATCAGGTTCGGCAGTCATTTATGTGATTTTATTATTAAATTTATCTCAATGTTATTGCATGCTTCCAATTTGGCAGGTTTGAATTTAATTTTGGTATCAGAGCCTATACTATTTCGTTAAAAGAAATTTATATATCTATAATATTTTGTTTAAAGAATTCTATAAGTCCATATTAATCTCCTTTGTTAAAAAGAAAAATATGTTATGATTTAAGGCTTTTGCGACATAAAAGTTAGCATTTTGGGTCATTGTGGTATTAATAAATTGTTGTATGGTCTAAAGTTGAATTAGATTCATTTTTAAGAAATATGTTGAGTAGTCTTCCCATTTATTGAAACTCTAAGACTTTGACTCTATGATATAGTAGTATTGGAGTCTTAAGCTCATGTATTAGTAGTTAGCCCAAAAGGTAACGTGTTCGTGCAAAAGTTTCTCTCTAAGACCTAATAAAAAAAGGTAATCAAATTTGACTTTAAAAAGACCTTTTCTTTTTTGTTCGAGCAAACACAACCGGTGGATGTTTTTACTAAGAGCTACTTTTAAACCTGAGAAAAGTGCATCTGAAGTACAACTAGTTGTGTTTTTGCTAACAGTAAAAATACACCTGTATTTTGACCAAAACTCATAGCTCTCAAATAAAAGTTACACTTCACGCAAGCTCGTAAATGGACTACTATGGTTAGCCGATGATTGCATATATTCAAACTTTATATTGTAGCAATGTGTTCAAATTTAGGGCGTATATTTGAAAATATTTCACATCATCGAAATAAATATACCTATAGCAGTGTTGATCATTCTTTCATCCACTTAATCTCTTTTCAAGTATGTGGCATTGGCCAATCTTGAATCACTTTAAAATTGTGGTATTTAAATATTAAAAATAATATTTAGTGTGATTTATTATACTTTATTACTCTTTTTATTAGTGTGTTTTATTATAAATTATTACCTACTACTTTATTAGTGTGTTAATTCCTATAATTATGTGACGATTAACAGTTACAATTTATATTATTACATATATGGTCATCTTCTTATAAGAGGAGGATTACTTACCCAAGTCTCACTATTCTTGCTCTCTTCTGACCCAGTACTACCCTCAACGATACTTGAAGGCAATGCCAAGAATGCCTCTCAATCTCAAAAGACAGTTTTTTCTTATTCTTATCTAATTTAATTTTACTTTATTTATATAATTATAATCATATTATTTATCGTGTTCAAGTTGATATTACTTGTATTGCTGTCAATTTTATGCTTTCATTTCATATTGTAAACTGATGTTCATCCTACTTGTTCATATTGTTGTATTATTCATTCAATTATTGAAAATATTGTTTTTTTTATTATTATTAGTTATCTTCGAGTTAATACTGTAAGCTATGCGTTTAATTTTGAGCATGTCAATTTAGAGGGTGTGAACACCTGTATTTATTTCATTGTGTATTGTGTATGAATAAAATCCATAAAACTCCCCAACAATCTAAAGCCAATAATGGTTTTTCCAAAAAAATAACAATAATAATATACATAAAGTATAAAACAATTTTAGTAACTCATTGCATTTTTGTTCCTCATCCTTTATGTGCTAATTATGCATTTTCATTATAGCCTCAATGGAGTGTGAAAAGCATAGTTACAAAAATCAGTGCGAACCTCATAAATGTCAAGAGCATTGTAAAATGATCCCATTTTCAACAAATATACTATAGTAATGCAATGAATTTTTGTTTTATTGACACTAGACTATATGAGATTATTTTTACTATTTTTAATATAACATTTAAGGGGAGATTGTAAGCAAAAACTTGTAAGCGAACATATTTTGTAATATGGAACTTTTTTATTTTATTTTTTTAATCATTATAATATGGGTTACCATGAAACTTATCTTCATAAGCCTGCATAGCAGTTGCAGGCTTATGAAGCCAAGAATAGCAGTTGCAGGTTATTGGGGTTTTGGGTCTCCTGCGCGGAGGTGATCCTATGGTGGTCTTGTGCATCCAAAAATTGTCATTTCAGTGATTGTGTTGGTTCTTTGCCCAACTCGTATTTGGCTACCTAACATGCATCAAAACGTTGGTGCACATGATCATCACAGAATCTCCGAGAAATTATTAAATAGTTCTTCTATTTGACACTTGGTGGGTTAATTCAATGACAGTCATCCGATCATGACACTTTGTAATATATTATAATTCACTATTGTGGCATCATTTTTTCAATCCTATAGTTTGTATATAACTGGTCTACCAAATGTCAATGGTCCATAATCATCTAATAATTTCTCACTTTGCACAACCGAAATTTGGGTTGAGGATTGAAAAAATAAGAACAAATTTCAAACATAACCTGAACTATACTCTTTAGCCCTAATGAGTTCATGGTAGTAAAAAAATTTCTAAAGAAATTGAAGTTTTAGCATATTCTATTTTTCTTCTCTTATGTTTTGTATATTTTCATTTCAATAATATAAAAGACTAGAAATAATTAAAAAAGTGTGGAGTGTTGTAGAGAGCGAGAAATAATTCTAGAGTTTGTAAAAATTAATTAATTAATGAAGATTTCAGAAGAGTATAGAATTTATAATAGGTATATAATTTAGATGGAGAGTTGTAGTAACTAAATCTTACATATTTTTATCCTTATATATAGATATGAATCACATATGTAACAATTTATAAAATTCAAAAGTGATGGAATGTGTTCTCTCCCTTAGCAAGTTAATCCAAAAAAAATATTGAACAAGAAATGAAGATAATAATACAGCAAAAAAATATAGTTGAGAGCATCTACGGATTAACTATGTAGATTGGTATGAATATCTTTTGTAAATAGATATAAAATAATAATCATGGGGACAAGATGGAGAATTATAGGCTTATAGCTTTATGTAATTTATGTTACAAAATCATAACTAAGATCTTGGCAAATAGATTGAGTTTATTATTGCCTAAGTTGGTTGGTTTGGAACAATCAGCTTTTAGCAAGGGTAGGAGGATAACATGATAATATTCTGCTTGTTACAGATTTGATTAAAAATTTTGGATTGAAAAGTAGTGGTCCTGCTATGGCCATGAAGGTAGATCTTAAAAAAGCCTATGATTCAGTCAATTGGAATTTCTTACAACAGAGCATGAAGGTGTATGGTTTCAGTGAGAAGTGGTGTAAATGGATAATGAATTGTGTGTCTACTGCTAAATTTTCAGTCCTGTGTAATGGTGTCCCAGCTGGTTACTTCTCTTCAGGGAGGGGGTTGAGACAAGGTTGCCCTTTATCCCCCCTTCTCTTTACTCTTATAACAGATTATTTTTCAACTCTGATGCAAGAAAAAATTGCTGCTGGTCACTTGAAGGTGTGTAATATGGTGTAGAAGACTGGATTGACAGTTTCTCATACCTTCTATGCCAATGATCTATTCATTGTTGTCAAGGCTGATATTTCCACTACTAAGCTATTGATGAGGTGTTTAAAACTTTTCATGTTGTGTCTGGTTTGGTTGTTAATAAAGATAAGAGTGCTGTAATTTTTTCTAAGGCTGTTAGGAGCAAAAGGAGACTTATGCATGTTTTGCAGATGAAAGTAGAGTCTTTTCCTATTACATATTCAGGGTTTCCCTTGGTGAATAGGGTTTGAAGAGTGCTGATTGTAGGGGTTTATTTGACAAAGTTACTGCGAGACTAGACCATTGGAATACAATTAACCTCTCTCTTGCAAGAAGAATTGAACTATTCAGATCTGTTTTGTATTCATTCTTGTACGATTGGATTTTTGGCTTCAAAATTCCTTGGGGGTGTATTATCACACTAGAGAGGAAGTTCAAACATTTTTTGTGGAGTGGGAAGCTTGATGTAAAGAAGATGTCACAATTAAAATGGAGTCAAGTCACTTTACCTTATGCAGAAGGAGGTTTCAATTTGTGCAGATTAATAGATGTTGATTATGCAGCAAAAATTGTTGCTGGGACTTTGTGAAGAATAAGGAAGCCTTGTCGGTTTAGTGGATGCATGCTAGATACTTACAGTAGGGTAATTTCTGGATGGTTCAACCTAAGGTGCAGGATTCTAATATTTAGTAACAAATTTTAGATACAAGAGAGTTTCTTCAGGAAAATGCAACTTTCAAAATTGGAAATGGTAATCAATTTAATATGTTGTTTGATCCATGGTGTACAGGGTTATCTTTAGTCCAGAGATTTGGGGATGCTCTATTTAGGAATTATGATAAGGAGGCCAAGGTTGATACTTTAATTGTGAATGGATAGTGGTTCTTCCCCCTTTTCTTTCCTATTGCTGCGGCAAATTTCATAAGTAAAATTGTGATGACTCCTGGGCAAGATGTGATTGAATGGTCTTGATAAGCCCTGAAAAGTGCACATTTAAACCCCTTAAGCTTAGGTATTCTAAAACCTTTATCTATCTTATTTTCCCGTTTTAGATTGATTTCGTATTATTTCCTTTTTCAGGTACTTATCCCTAAAATAAGCTAACTCAGCCAAATAAGAGTAGAAATGAAGCAATTCTGGGTTGAATCAAAGAAAGGAGCAAAGTAGAGCAAAAGGTAGCAAAAGGTGGAATTTCAGCAATTTCGATCGATCTCAAGAAAAGTTTGATCGATCCAACTTTCATCGATCTCAGCACTTCAAGATGGATCTGAGCCATGTTTGTCCCTATTCAAAGATCTCAAAGTTCAATTGATCCAACTTTATTCTCTGATCGATCGAACATTCTTGTCCTTATCTAAATTATTGATCTTATCCAGCTGTACCACCCTGCCAACCGTTTTTGTCCTTTTCCCAAAAATATCTTCAAAATATCTCATATTTGTTTTTATCCAAAAGGCGCCGCCATAGAGACTCGATCCAACTTCAGTTCGATAGATCTTAGCTAAGTTCGATCGATCCAAGGTCAAGGTTCGATCGATCGAACTTCCTCCAGTGTGAAAAAGTTAAATTGCCAGCTCATAAAAAGTTGTCCTTATAGAATCATTTGGAGAATATTGGAGTACATGCCAGATCATTTTTGGGTGTCACCTAACCTACCAAAAAGGGGGATTTCAGCAACTTTTGGGAGGGGGATTCAACAACAACCATAGAGAGAAGATTTTTTAGAGAATTCTTAGTGAGGAAGCAAAGGAGAGGAAGAGGCTAGAGACACCATTGGAGGCTCTTCATCAACCAAGGAGCAGATTTCTTCCATGGAGCTTGCCCTTGAGGGTTGGAAGACATCATCCATGAGTGGCTAGACATCCTCTTAGGGCTAGAGTTAGCCCTAAGCATGCTTTCTACATCTTGATTTATGTATTTTTGAGGGGATTTGTATTGTGATACATGTTTTGACACTTATATATATATATATATATATAGATCTTATTTATTCAATGATTTATATGGTTTAATGCTTCCAATTGATCATTTCATTCTATCCATATGTCTATGTATGCTAGAGTAGATGTTCATATGTTTGTCTCTATTTCTTGTATTATTGATGCATGTCTATGTGTATTAATGCTATAGATTTAGAGATTGTTAAGACATAGTGCTTAATAGAATGCTCTTGTGGTTTATTTGATGGTTCATACTCATTTTTTGATGAATTGTGCCTATCCCTTAGTTTAATTAGTTTAATTTCATGTTATTAGCTTAGTTGTAGTGTAGTTGTAGTGTAGTTGTTAAATGGGAGGATAATTCATGCTTGTTGTTTGATGTTCCATGCTTTTGAATGCAAGTAGCATATGTCTCTAACCTTGTGATGTGTTTGGATTGTGAGCTTAATGAAAGGATTAATGGCTTAGTTTCATATATTATGTTTTTCATTATGTTGCTTAGACAATATATGCTTAATTGGTCATCCTTACTAATTGAAACAACCAAACACACACACACACACACACACACACACACACACACAAATATTGCAACACATATCTTCCCCTCATTGATCATTCATTAAGGGTGTAGAAAAGTATGCTTAGTGGTGATCTCTAAACCCCAAGATCTCTCTCTCTCTTTTATTCTCTTTATTGCATTATTGTTTACTTTAGTTTAATTTGCATCTAGTGTAATTCAACCAACCAACCACTATTTTGATCACTTGACCTACTAACCCTAATCTTGATTCCTCAACCGTGTATGACCCACTAATCCCTTGGGACGATCCCTACTTGCCCGAGCTATATTTTTAGTGAAAGGTAGTAGTGGCAATTTCTAAATGTAAAACTTGGCCACATTTATCATATTTCTACACCACTACCTTTTGGTGCACAAATTTTGGGTCGGTGTGCGACAAACCACCAAGTTTTTGGCGCCGTTGCCGGGAATTGATTGAATGTAACGTCATATTTATGGAATTAATTAGGAATTAGTACTCCTTTGATCATGTCTTTACTTTATTTTCATTTTTATTTTTCTTTACTCATTATGTTTGTTCTTATTTGACTAGGTGTATTAAGCTAGGAGGCAAGCAAAGGAGCATTCAAGCAAATGAGCTAAGCAAGCAAGGAAAAAGGCTAAAATCATAAAAAATTGCTAAGCTAAAAGTTAAAAAAAAAATTGGAGTCGAAGTGCTAAAGGACCTTTTGTGAGCTTTCCTTTACTCAATCCTTAGTTAAATCGTCGGCCCGCGTGGAGGCTTGTATTTCAATTCTTAGACAAATCGTGAGCCCATGTGGAGGCATTTTATTGTTCTTTGCATATTTTTGAAAGCGTGGGAGTATGGAAACATTGTATGTGGAGGAAGTTTGTTGATTGTTGATTTGTTATGAAGGTGAAGTGTTTGTCATTATTGCTTATTGTGTTGCATTGTACATGCATGGTCGTAGATCATTGAGACCCATTCTTGTCCCTTTAAATTTTCATCTTGAATCTATTGTTCGAAACCCTAGGGGAAGAGGAAGTTCTAGTCAATCCATTTCATCAAAGGAAGTTAACAATGAGGACCATGTGGAGGACCTCGGTCACATAGACCAACAAGGTATTCTCCACCCTAATGTTCATTATGATAACATGCAAGTACCATTAGGCATGCCGAGGCCATTTGTTCATCCACCACAACAACAAGGCCAAGTTCCATTGGGAATGCCAAGGCCAATCTATGCTCCACCACCTCCCATCATTCAAGGCAACCAAGGTGCCCATGTTGCACCTCCAATTGTTAATCCTCCCTTTACTTCAAGAGGCCACTATGTGCCTAATGAATATAATGCACCCACATGCATTCAATTTCCTCCATTTAGAGCACATCATTATGAAATCAAGCCACAAACCATTCAAATACTTCCTAATTATCATGGACTTCTAAGTGAAGAACTTTACAAGCATTTGGATGAGTTTCTTGAAGTATGTTCCACCGTAAGATACACGGACATGCCGGAAGAGGTCTTAAGGCTTAAATTTTTTCCATTCACCCTCAAAGACAAGGCCAAATATTGGTTTAACAATCTTAGGCCTTTTTTAATAACTTCTTGGACAAAAATGCAACAAGAGTTCTTGAAGAAGTACTATCCAGTTTCTAAGACCAATGCCATGAGAACTTCAATTAGGGAATTTTCACATGGGAATGGGGAAACATTTCATGAGGCATGGGAACGCTTTAATGAATTGCTTAGGAAGTGTCCACATCTTGACATGCCCAAATGGCAATTAGTTCAATATTTCTTCTTAGGAAGTGTCCACATCATGACATGCCCAAATGGCAATTAGTTCAATATTTCTTTGAGAGCTTATCGGATAATTACAAGGGCATGGTTGATGCTTCCATGGGTGGCTCTTACATTGATAGGCATGAGGATGACGTGTGGCGTCTTTATGAGAGCATGAGTGAAAATTCTTTGCATTGAACTTTATCTTCGAAGAATGGTAGAAATTCTAGTGGTAGGAAGAGTGTTGGCTTACATCAAGTCGACCACTCCAATGAAATTGCCGCCGAGATGAAATCATTATCTCAAAGGTTTGATCAATTCTTGATCAACAAAAACTCGGCGAATCAAGTATCTTCCTTCCCTAACCATTCTCATCATGCATCTAATGAGACATGTATGACTTGTTCAAGTGTTTTACATTCTACTTCCAATTGTCCCCATGGACATGTGCAAAGTGAGCATCATGAACAAGTCAATGCAACTTTTGTTAATCAAGGGAACAATCCTTATGGCAATCACTACAATGCTAATTGGTTCCCAAGTACATTCCACCTCCAATGCAAAGCCAAGGTTCCCAAGGTTTTAGATCATCATACCAATCACAAGGAAACCAATTTTTAAATTCTCATTTTCCCAATCAATCATATTCCTAAGGAAATGTTAGAAGTCCCGCTTTTGAGGAGAGAGTTTTGACCGCTTTGGACACTTTAGAGGCAAACACACAATTACTTCATTCTCACTCTCAATCCATTGCAAAGCTATAAACCCAAGTAGAGCAAATAGCTAGTACTTTGAATGCAAGAGAGAAAGGGAAAATGCCTTTGAATGCCCCACAAAAGCAACAATGTGTTGTAGAGACTCATTCCTCATTGGAAGGTCACACAATAGAGCATGTCAATGCGGTGACTACCTTGAGAAGTGGTAGGATTGTGGATAACCAAGTGGGTATGTCCAATGAAGAGAGTGAACCGGTGCAACTATAAGTTGACACCCGTCCCATTTCACATTCTATTCCCCCTTCATTGCATATGCATGATCTTTCAAATGAGAATGTGTTGAAAAATGATTTGAAAAGTGATTTTAAAAAGAAAGATTTGCAACATGATTTTAAAAATTCTTGTGTTGAAGAGACTTCAATGAAAAATTCTAAAAAGATTTTTGAACCAAAAGCTCCATTTCCGGATGCCTTAAAAGGATCCATTTCAATTGACAAGCAAAAGGCCAAAACAAATGAAATTAAGGATGTGTTTAGGCAAGTGAAAGTTAATCTTCCGCTTTTGGATGCGATCAAGCAAATTCCAGCTTATGCCAAATTCTTGAAAGACTTGTGCACCCA